TGAATACTTATGACCATGTGATATTTCAGTTTTTCTTTTTTAATAAATCTGCAAAAATGTCAAAAATTCTGTGTTTTTCTGTCAATGTGGGGTGCTGTGTGTACATTAATGAGGAAAAAAATGAACTTAAATGATTTTAGCATATGGCTGCAATATAACAAAGAGTGAAAAATTTAAGGGGGTCTGAATACTTTCCATACAAATACCTTGGGCTTTGTTAGTGAACAGGGGCTGTGTACTTCTACTTGTCCTGGAATACTGATTGGCTGAGTCAGCCAGGTCAACAGTGGTTATGCCTTTGGGGTGCACACAGAGCAGCGAAGCTTAGTGCACAACAAGAACAAAGTTTTGTACCTTTTAGTTTTAATGTCTGGTTCTTCAACACATACACACATGGCCATAAGGAGATAAAAGTTGCCATGCATGCAGACACTCACAGGTGTACACAGTGAGTGAATTAATAAAATCATGCACACACACTGCCTTGTTCACAAACTTTGAACACAAACAAAAATCCAACCAAACATGCAAATGGTAGTGATGTAGCCAAATTTATTTGGAGAAGTAAATTGCAGTTTTCTCTCATTTTTTTCCCTAAAAGCAGCAGTTAACAAGGAAACTATAGATCATATTTTATGAGTACTACATCATTTCCACTTAGTGGCCCCCAGCAGCATGCATTCGCACACATACAGGCAGGCAGGATGCCTGTGGCACACTCTTTTTCTGTTTGGCCCAAAGCCAGTGAACCCTGGCCAGCAAAGACTGAATTGTCCCATATTGTTAGAAAATCTGAGGTTTCCTCTAGCAGTGCCACCAGATTCACATCAGATGTTTCCCTCAGTCGAACCCTTTAGTCATACAGCTGGGGAGGTGGGGCTGGAAGCTCCATGAGAATCACTCTAATATGATTATCCTGGCCCCTCTGGTCTTAGAGGACACTGGGTTACAAAGCAGTGAAGCAAGATCATTAATCTACTTTGTTTGTTTAAAGGCTACACATGACAACTGATGAACAAGAGAAAAGGGGGGGGGGGGACCCAGGGCCCAACAAAAAAAAAAGCATCCATCATGAAGAAAGATGAAAGAAGAAAAAGAAAGGGGGGGGGGGGGGACACAGGGCACAACAAAAAGAAATGCATCCATCATTTTCAATGAGTGACAGAAAGATAATTAATGGTTTGCTCACATTTGGCTTGAGTTTGAAGGTTAAGCGAGCAAAGCCTTGAATAAGACACCCTAATGGTTTCTCACATTTGGCATGAGTCTGAAGGTTAAGCAAGCAAAGCCTTGAACAAGATACCCTGTATAAAATAATTTATCCACCAACATTAAATCACTATTATCTATGATCAAAACCGAATAATATCTCTTGAGCATTTTGTTCAGTCTCAAAGCAGCACTGAAGTCAAAGACGAATGTTGGGACCTCTAAATATCTTAATCTGTGAACCTTTTCCTCTGAGATTTCAAGCTGGACATTCTCCCACATGTTGGAGCTTATTTCCAGCTCCTAGTATAGTGCCAGAAACAAAAACGACAGCTGTTTTTCTCTAAGAAGGGGTCTCTTCTTAAAAGACACTTCAATGACTTCTCTCCAAGATGTCTTTATTCAAATGCAGGTGTTGACAGTTATAAATAAATGATGTGTTGTATGATTCACTTGTGTGGTCAATCAGAGTAGAGACAGATGTAGATGTCTGGAGAAGAGAAAGATGGAGACAGCCCTGGAATAAACAACTCAGTCCAAAAATAAGTCACTCACTCAAGGTCACTTTTCAGTCTGAAGTGATTGGTTTCATCTCCGACTCTACAAACATGGCTACCATCAAGCCTCAGTGTGATGAGGTTTAGCTGAATGTTCACTCAGTGGGATAAAAATAAATAAAATTAATTAATTAAAATAACTTAACAGATCATTTGTCTTCCTGAGGACAGCCTGAATTAGGGCATTCCTTATAAGTGCAACAGAGAACAGAACACCTGGTCTGGCATCTAAACATTAAGAAACATTGGAGGGAATCCATCATTTGTCAGAGGCAGATAAAAAATGTAGGACTCGTCTTGGGTCAGTCATTGATAACCAGGATAATATACTGCAGGAGGTTACTTTGGCAACAAAGTGCAGTTTTATTTCTATCAAAGGTACTATTATTGCCATTATCCTCCGAGTTCTTTCCTACAAAATGCTACTAGCATGAATCACTTTTGCAAACATAAAAAGCAAATTCCACTTTTATTTTGGGCATAAATTGAGTGCAATTATACAGACCTATGTAACGAAACATCTTTGATTTAGTTCAGCTGTAGGAAGTAGTTTCCCCACATGCTGTAAACCTCATATAAGAAGAATGCAAATGAGAATATAAAGCTCTTTTGCTTTGTTTTTATAATTTTATTTTACAGTGCATCTTTTTTTTTATCAGCTAATCAAATATTTTGCATGTTACTGAGCTCCATTTTATAAAGTGACTACAGCTGTAAGATCAATGTGAAGTAAAAATATTTTTATTAATGAAGCACTGTGGAAGGAAAGTGAGTTGATCTGGGATCAGATTTATGGTCTTTCAGCTGCAAGATGATCTCTATAAGCAAACGTCAAGCAGCTTGAAAGTGCAGGCATTATGAACGTGACATGTTGTTTACTTTATATTTGATTCAAAAACCAAATTATCCATTACTGATCATAATCTGTTTAGGAAATTCCAAAGCATTTAAAAGTGGAGTGGTGAATTCATGCAAGTTCTATACAGAAGGTCACAGAATCATAGCTAGAGCCACTTTTCAAAGAGGAAACTAGCACCTCACTGAGATAATGTTTTCCTTTAATTTCTCACCCAGCTCTAGATGAATAAACTGAAAGATAGACCTGTGACTCTCACTGTCAGGCTGTTAATGAGAGCCGGCTGTCACATGCACAGTGCAGGTGGCTTACACATGAATTTCAAGTATGAGCAAAGACATTGCACTGGGCACCGCTGTATGAATGTGATTTAAGTCTCTGGCCAACTAAAGCAAATTGCAACTTTTATCGGCCTCTACAAGCTTAAACTGATGCTGTCTACTATAACAGTACTGCAATAAATGCTCCCCTCATGAAGGTGATAATGTGATAAACAGTTTAACAACAACTGGACATTATTGCCGTCATGAAGGGAAGGTTTACTGCAGTTCTATTAAACTGTGTTATTTTGGTAGGTATACCCAGTAAACTGTTAACTGTGGGTGACGAAGACAGATTAACTATCTATTAAACTGTGTTATTTTGGTAGGTGTACCCAGTAAACTGTTAACAGCGGGTGACGAAGACAGATTAACTGCTAGAAAGGCAGACAGATTAAAAGT